TTTTTTTTTTTTGCCAAAAATACTTTTGGCAATAAATAAATAAATAAATAAATAAATAAATAAATCACCACTTCTTTCTTTCCTAAAGATGTTTTAAGCTAAATAAATAATTTTTCAAAAATCATTTTTGGCAAAATAAATAAATGACTTGGGCCATTGCTTTAGAAAGGTGACTATATATATGTATGTGTATATTTTTACTTTCTGCTGTACTCCGAGACAGTAATCTATAAGTTATATAGATTACAAATGCTTTAATTTGCAAACTGTGTTTTTGATATTATGTATCGTCAAAGTTACGGGCATATGCTTAGACTTAAAGAAAATACACAAATACACTTTTGAGGTTTAACCCTTCTTATGAAGAACATGTTTTTTAAACAACAGGAACGGTTTACGGTATTATGTTGATTTAGACGAGCATTTTCGTCTAAATCGAAAATGGGGTGGAGTATGTTGGAGGGTGTAACATTTAACTTGGTCGGAGCGGCAGAAGTGTGACTGAAGGTGCGTGAGTGTCACATGTCACCATAAACAAGCGACTGTTTGACACCTCCGCTTCAACCCTCAGAGAGACGCTCCCAGGTCAGCAGCTGTCTCCGGACCGGTGGAGGAATTTGGGCGGCCATGGCGAATGATGACAGCCGGGACACTTTGGAGTCGTGGCTCAGTAAGTTAAAAATAAAGCGAGAAAGGGTTAAGTTGTGGTTTTCAGCTACTCGTTTGCAGAAGAGACAGAGCTCTTAGCTTGCATCTCGTCACTTACCTCCCTCTAACTGTAGCTGTTGAACGTCATCCTAACCGTCAGCATTTGAGCTCTGGGATCCTACTAGCTCATTTTATGTACTGGTTTAATGCTCGGTCGTGTTTGGCTATTTTTACATTAGTTTAATTTGTTAAAAAATTAGTCTTGGTACAAACTTTTAGCTTCAACAGGAAGTTGTTGAGGTCCCGCGCGTGCCCGAGATGCGCTCCAGCGGTTTTGTCTGTGCCCGACTGTGCGCGAGCTCTAACAAATTAAATTATTAATTTAATATCTGGTGACAAGAAATCCACTCAAAGTGTTTTCAGTAATTTCCTGCACTTGTGCATAGGTAAGCACAGCTTACAGAGTAAACAAACCATATTTACCGTAACTAAATACACTTAGTGAAGAAATTCATGAATGCCTTCATTCAGTCCTCAGATTAAAATATCTAGATAGAAACTGAACTTGGTTTGAGAAACAGAGGGATTTTTTCAGTTCATTTGATTCAGTTCTGTTTATTTAAATCGAACGAACACTCAAAACACTTTACAAAAATGAGTGAATCTTTATTCATAAACAAAAATGTCAAAACATACAGTTTCTATTAACATGGACAGAATCACATTCACAGGCATACTTAGCAGTCAAGTTTAGTTTATCATACCAAAGCAGTAAAAATTTGTCTAACTGATTCAGCCGTTAACTTTGCCGCAATCCCTCATAATAAGCAAGCCTGTGGCAAGAAGCAAAAAGGAACAACTGTGTTTTAACAGGAAGAACCCTTCAGTGGACAGGCCCAGTATAAACTGTCATCCTTTGCCTTAATTTTGTCATGTAAACAGTACTGGATTAAAAGTTCTCCCAAAACGTAAGACTATTTATGAATAAGCTCACTTAAATGCCTCTGATTTGATGGGTGGTTTTGGGTCATGGTGCCCTTTGGATAGCGTTTCTGTTGAACTCCTCCTTAAACGGCAGTATAAGACAAGACTGCAAACAGAAATCACCTCTGAAAGCTGGA